AAGCTTATGGTAACAGGAAAATGTATGCTGCCGGAGAGTCGAAGCTCGCAAATTCAGAGAAGCTCTATGGGTTGGTTCAGTGTACCAGAGATCTTTCTAGTGGTGATTGTAAGAAGTGCCTTGATGATGCCATAAGTGAACTTCCAAGCTGTTGTGATGGAAAAGAAGGAGGAAGGGTTGTGGGTGGGAGTTGTTATATCAGATATGAAATTTATCCATTTGTCAAAGTTTAGGGTATAGGAAAATCCTAGGGCATGAGGGGGGATGTGTTCTGGTAGTATTGCTCTACAAATAAAGTGTTATATACACACATTTCTGTTTGTATCACTTGTGGTAGGATTGTATACCTTAACATCCCTGGTACTTTGGGGCGTGTCACTTTTTTTTTTTAATTGATTCCTGAATTCAATAAACTTCTTTCCTATTTAGTGTTGCATTACTCATGGAGATCTTTTCAGAAGACGCTTAATTAGGATCATACAACAACGGTTAGTTCAATTGGATGCTCCTATCGGCCAACAATATTTTATAAGGAATATTAAATGATCCGAGTAGCTCGAGTTTAGCTCACTTTTGGAGCGCTCAAAGTGTAAAATAATTTATATTTGACCAGATTTCTATGCTTATTTTGTTCACGAGCAGAATAATTAGGGTTGCAATTTTAGGTATTGATGCGCCCGACCCAGACCAGAATTACAGCTCAAGTCCAATTCAAAGGTCCAATTCAAAATTGTAAATTAAATCTAGCTCAGAGACTCAGTTTAAAATTACAGACTAAACCCACCTCAAATATACAGGCCAAGTCCATCATAGGGTCAAGGAATCTCAGTCGGATCAACCTATCTATCTTGAGAGACTCAATCCATAACTGACACAATAGGAGATCTCCAAGGGACACAATCATCAAGCGTACATCGTCACCTCCAAGTAACTGTCTTGCCTGTTACGAAAATGACGCCACCTCTACCGAACTATCTCAAATGTTATGAGAATAATGTCTCAATCTGTTAAGAGGTGCCTATAATTGTAAGTCTCACCTACACAATGGGGGTATCATCATACATATCTCAGCATATCCCTTGAGTAATAAGATTTTTCTGCTACCGTAGTCATTCTCAGCAGAGTAAGTCATTTAGACCGAAACAACTAATATGTGTGTTTGCTTTGTTGAGTCTTCTACCTAATTATTGCGTTAAATACTTAATAAGTGGTACATAAACATATTTTGTACATTATCAGTTAGGGTTATAATTTGAGATCACTTGGATCGTATGTCCATACAAGAATTTGAGTTATAATTGTTATCAGGAATTTTGGCGATCTGGCCATAGACCCATCTTGCTTTTAAGTCCCAGACCCGTTCGTTTGATCCTTGGGATATTTACAATTCCGATATCTGTGGTTGCCACTCATCTGTGCACACGTTTGTCTGGGTTTATGCCCATTGTAATATATGGTCATTCGTTATAATGTCAACGTTGAGCATAAAGGGGGAGATTGTAACAACAACCCATATTGACATGTGTTAGAATGTCAACATTGAAAGCTTGCACAAAGGATCTTGGGTATGTATATGTGTGTGTCAGTGGAATAAATGGCCTCAAATGGCATCTCCCTGAAACCCTTTTGGGTGTGTTCCTATGGTTACTACATGGGCAATCTAAACTAAGTTGGTATCTTTATCATGCACCTAGGTTTCACAGGTAATTTGTTTGTTGTATTATGGATGACCATGGTTTCCGGCCATTTATGAACACCTGATTGGTTTCCCAGTTACATAGTCACCCCAAATTGGGTGATTACTTTCTTATGTTATGATTTTTTTATTATACTGAAAAATGGTTTGGTAAATTAGATTTTGACCCGTAATCCACAGTTTCCATCCCACATTGTCCCCTCAATTATCATATTTTTTACATTACACCTTCAATTAGAGTGATTAGTTTCACATTACTCCAATGATCAACGTCTATTAAAAAATCGACGGAAAGTTGTCTCACTTTACCCTTAAGCTATATGACAACTAATGTTATTAGAATCTAAGAAATTTACTTAATATTGCGGCAATAATGTGGTATAATAGTGTTGTTGTGACCATAACTTTTAAATTTTTTACTGGTACTCCGTCATTTGACACATTATTAGTTTAGTAAATTAAGTCAATTTTTTAAATCTCAATACAATTACTCATATGGGCACATGTCTGGTTTGGACAAAGCACCCTTCTCTGTGTAGAACCTTAGTTATATAATTTTTCAAAACAGTCGACACTGGTGCTTTGTGCATGAATTCACGCTTTGAAAGTGAATTTTTCGTAAATTCGCGCTCTCATTTTATAAAATTCGCAAATACAAAATTTTAATTTGCGAATTGCACTATTACTTACTTATATGCTTACTTACTACTAGCTCATACATAAAGATACATATCAATTTAAAATGATATTTATAACCTAGAATTGCTATTTCAAGACTTTATAATCAATATATTTTTTAAAATTAAATAATTTGTCACTTAGTTATACATGAAATTTAATTTTTTTATATTTTATTTTTATCAATTTTTACTGGTGAATATTTGTTCATATGCATACGCTCTCAAGAAATTCATGCTCTTAAATTTTTTTGAATTTTTTTTTGTGCTCTGGCTCTTTCCTTCCCCCCCGCTTCTGCTCCCTCTCTATTTGATCCAGGGGAGAACACCTGAGCTCAAATTTCCAAGTTCTAAAGGCCACCCAAAATTAGACATGACTTTATGAGTCAAAAGGTCCGATTTCGAGCCATGGCAATTCACACCTGTTGGTCCTGGTATGTACTATTGACAGTACATCCATATGTGTATTTGTTGGTGCAAAATATCGTGGCATTGATGGATAGTCCCTCTTCGACGGTGCTTCTCCTGTGTTTATGCAAGTGGAGTTCACTGTATTACTTTAGAATTTTCTTGAATGAAAAATAATCGTTAGATAAAATTTAGAGAGACATGGAAATTAAAACCCAACGAAAGGAAAATCTTTTAATTATTTGTAGAAATTTTGGTTACAAAAGACTAATTGAACAACCTTGAATATTGGACTCCATGTTTGTGCGCAAATCATTCTATCACGACTTGCTCAAAAAAAGTTACTTGAATTTTATTTATTAACTTAATGAACCATTGTCATTAGTTTGATAATGGACCAAATATTAAATAGAACCTGCTACCAATTCAATAATTATGATGCATTGGATAAATAGATAAGGTCAACATATTAAATCTAAATAGCATTTTGAAAAAATTACCAATAAGTATTATTACTCTTCCTTAAAAACATCCATTAAATTTTATCCTTTTTTGTTTTATATCAATAAAGTCCTATTTTTAATATTTTATTTCAATTAAGTCCTAATTTTATTATATTTCAATTTTGTCCTTAACCTTTAGTTACCAAACACTTTCATTGGATCAATTGTCATCCCTTTTTATATGAGTAAATTTATTTATTTTTTTATAAATATTGTTAAGTTTTTGCTGAAGTTCCAGACGTATAGATGCTCAATTTTTATTTACGTATTAGTATTCACTACAACTACGATTCTAAAATCACAGAGTATTCGAGTTTTTATCGTAAAACTCTAGTTCATCGAGAATACATAGGGTCCAAAACCCACTATTGTATCTTATAACATATACATGTAATTGTGTATGTACATTTCAATTATTTTTTGCATTTCTCATTTCTAATTTAGTTCCCTGATTGTTTGAGTGTGAGTTGAAGACGAACCTCGCAAACAGGTCAGGGGTGTTGTTAGTCCCATGTTTGAATCTATTTCGGTCAAAATTTGACTGGGGTTGAGCTGGAGTAAAAGATTTCGTATCATACTGGCCCTAATTGAACTAATGGTTGTTGCTGATATCAACGTGTTTGATTAGGGTTTCTTTCAGGTAAGTTAAGTGCATGGTAATTGATGATGCAAAAAAATAGTTTCGTGCAAGATCAACAGTCGAGTGTGTGATAAGGTATAATTAATAGACAATAAATAAAGCAATCAATGGCACTAATATAAATATTGAGTCAACACACAAATATATTATGGTTCGGTGCGAGTGACCTACTCCACTCTCGAGAAACAGCAACGGTGGTCATGGGTCTCTATTAATGGATAAAGTAAGAGAGAGAGTTCTGGGAGGTGTGTGCTCCAAGAGAAATACAATAACTAGAGGAGAGAAGCTATATGTGTGTATAGAGGTATAGAGAGATGTGGTGAGATGCCAAGATGTGTCCTCTTATGTGGAGAGAACTTACAATTTATAGGTATGATAAGGCGATGACGTGAGTGTGAAGGTACTAATTTTTCGGGGAGGATAGTTACAAAAGGTAAGTGCAATTAATTCTTGTGTATCCATCTCGATGATCTCTCTTCCACATGCTTATTCTTTTATAGACTCTTTGGATTTTGGACTGGGTCAGATGGGTGAACTGGACTTGGGCTGCCTTGTAGCTAATTTGGGTTAACTTGATATATTGGGTCTAGCTCAGTTGGATTTGGGCTCATCATTTGCCCCCCATGCCCAAGCCTCCAACTGTTTGCCAGAGAAAAGGGTTGAGGGCATGAGTTTTTTCTTCACTTGGACGAGCAGAAGTTTTCTTTTTCCCCGCGGTGCCTCTTCGTCTTCAGAGACTCCATTGAAACCATTAAAACTGGGTATTTTTGCATTCAACTGCATTTCTTTTGCTAGGTCTTTCATTAGTCCCCAAAAGAATTTTTCTTATTTATAGAAGCCCTAAGACTCCCCCATTCCATTTCCTCTTTTCTTTTCTCTGGAGGATTTTTCTAGAAGCTATTTTTCCCTAAATCTATTTTTCCCAAATCGAATCGAGAAAATGAAGGCCAAGAGCTTAAAGGAGATGGGAGAGGACTCCAATAATGATCCCACGAAGAAGAAGGCAGCTAGAGAGTCCAAGGAGGGAGACGACACTGGTTTAGGCAAACTCATAGGCGCGAAAGAGCCCATGGGCAATGCCGATAGCACAGACGGCACCAGTGGTGCTGTGGGTGACGCCCATTAGGGCTACCATGGCGCAGGTCACGCCTTACGTCGATTGGGCGCCAGGTTTTAGAGATCAGGGGAGGGTGATTTCGGTGTTGACTCAAAGGCAACACTAGGCACAGCCCAGGCGACGCCAGCTGGTGCTCAGGATTTGATGCTAACAAGGTGTTGGGCACACTGGGTTATGCAGGAGGTGACTCTAGTATGGGAGAGAGGAGAGGCGGTGGGGCCAGTGGCCCTGGGGGCTCCCTCGGTGGCAATGACGCCTTGGTTCAGGGCAGTGGAGCAAAGGAATAAGGAGAGGACACTAAAGCAAGGGGCGAGTAGGTGGCACCAGCGCGTCTGCCATGGGTGACACTAGGCTACCGTTATGCAGTGTGGGGCGCAGTGCAGGTGGCTCCAATGATGGCAGGCCTAGGCCAGGCGACGGCGGTGGGGACTTGGGCGCGATGGGCAACTCCAAGAAGCACACGGGTAAGTCCATTGGCACCTTTGGGTAATTGGGCAACGCAAGGAAGCAGCCAAGCAGTGATTTGAACAAACCGAGCTCACGGAGTATGTTGTCTGGTGCTCATATTTATTCCTTTGTTGGCATGGGTATTTCCTGATTTTGTTTTGGCAGACACCCATTCTAATGAGCTCATCATAAGGGAGACTCCTCGAGAGATCGAGCGAAGCATGGGAACTACTAGAGTTAATGGCTCAACGGTAGCCTCCATATTCAACTCAATTGACTGTGATGAGGATATTGTTGGTATAGTATCTTTATATCGCATTCCTCCCGCTGTAATGTGTCATCGCGCGAAGGAGAATGAGCCAACATGTTGTGACTCCTCTAGCAAGATTGTCCTTTATGAGGATATCTTGGAGGCGGGCTTGAGGTTCCCGATACTTGGGCCTATATGTCGGGTTCTAGGGCACCTGTCCCTAGCTCCCGAAAGATTGGCTCCCAATGGATGGAGGATGATACTGGCATTCTTTTCATTATGGCAGTTGGTTCACAGTGCTGATGTCCCTCTCCCATTCAAGGAGTTCTTGCCCATGTATATGCTCCTAGAGAACCCTATCCTTTATCAGGGGTGGTATCATTTTGCCCCGAGGTCAGGTAAGTTCATCACTGGGCTTCCTTCGAACTGTCATAGCTAGAAGACCAAGTTCTTCTTCGTTGGAGGCAAGTGGGCCACCGAGAGTGATCGTGACCTGGTGCCTTCGAGGTGGGACACCATCCCCATGACCAAGCTAGGTAAGGACTCCACTTTTGATTTTACTTCTAGTTGTCACATATATGCTCTTACTATGCGATTCGCATCTTTGTAGCTTCCCCGACATTATCTACAAAGCAAGAGAGCAAACTCCATATGGTACGCAACCACCGTTTCAAGGAATTCTTGGGGATTATGTCCTCTTCAGGTCACTCCAAGTCTACTCCCAAGCCGAAGAAGAAAGGTATCTGATCTTTCCAATAGACTTTTCATGGTTACAACATCGTAGGCTTTTTATCTCACACCGATTTTACAGGTACCTCCATTGATAGAGTGGTGGTGGAGTCTGTCTACGCTTCTAGGGTGATGTCTTTCCCTTCTTCTTCTAAGAGGGAGAAGTCTGATGCCCCCGGTGTTTCTCAGTCGAGGTCCATCGACCAAGCTAGTACTCGAGAGGCAGAACCTGGTGATGCCCCCCGTTCTTCCCCGATTGCTATCCTTTCACCCCCCAGAGATAGTTCTCATACGATTGTGGGGACTAAGGCCCCGGTACAATCTCCTACTATGACAGATGTTCTACCTACCCGTCCTGCTTCAAGCAATAGTTAAGTATCCATGTTGTAGGATGTGAAACTAGTTAAGGAGCGGTTTTGGGGGTTTGTGACTCGTGCAGAGATCCAAGAGGTTGCCTCTCGAGGTCTAGAGGGCATTGTTGATGCTGCCATGGAGGGCTTTGCCTTGGTGTGCCCTTCATTCTTCTTTAGTTTCGTACTTGACTTCTTTCCTTCATGTTTCACCTTCTGAATGCCTATAGGTGGCTGCTGCTTTTTCTTGCTTGTTTTCAAGTAGGTTAAAGATTAGGGAGACACTTGATGGTCAACCAGCGGAGGGGCAGGCACTAAGGGTTGCTGAAGAGTAGTTGGGGCTCGAGCGGTAGGCACGAGAGGATGTCGAGGAACAGTTGAGGCTGACACACAAGAGAGCTGTCATACTTGAGACTGAGCTTCAGACGTCCCACGAGAGGGCCTCCCAGCTAGAGGCTGATAGAGAGGCTGCCTATGCACAAGCAGAGATAGAGCTGCTAGCGTCCCGTGAGAGGGCTACTGTAGTAGAGTCTGACCTTCGAGCATCTCTTGAGAGAGCTACTAGGGCAAAAGCTTACTCCATGGAGATGGAGAAGAAGAGAGATGTTGCTGAGAGGGCCATGGCAGACGCCTTTATTGATGTCTATGAGGAGCTCAAGAGTAAGATCTCAGCAATTTTCCCGCTTATGACTTTTCTAGCTTTGTCCCTGATGAGGCTCCAGGGACTGATGACAACGAGGCGAGCGATGATGGGTGCAGAGGTAGTAAGTGACGTCAGGAGTGTGGTATCTTTGTATTTATGTTTTTGTTGTTAAGTCATGTTCTATCTTTTGTAAAAGCTTCATGCACTTCTATAAGATACAACTTTTTGAAAAAATATTACGAAATTTTATTTCATAATCCGGAGTAAATATAAAGGAAAATTGATCAAAACAAAAATAGATAATCTAAATGGTGACTACTAACTTATAAACTCATTGTCTTGCCCCGAGCTACTGGTAATATTTTTTAGGTACTCAGCATTCCATGGATAGGGCAGAACTTTTCCCCCAAAATTTTGAATTCTATAGGTGTTTGGTCTTACAACTTCTGTGACCATGCAGGGTCCTTCCCAGTTAGGTCCTAGTTTTTCTTCTCGGGAGTCTTTGGTAGACAAGATGACCTTTTTGAGGACTAGGTCCCTGGACAAGAAGAAGTGAGGTTTCACCCTCAAGTTGTAGTATTTGGTCATGCGATGCTTGTACTCTGCATTCCTGAGCATAGTTTTCTCCCTCTCCTGCTCTACCAAGTCGAGGTTGATGCGGATGTCTTCTTCATTACTAGTAGGGTCATGGTGCTGGACCCTGAGGGAATGTACCCCAATCTCAAAGAGTATAACCGCCTTTATCCCGTAGGCTAGGGAAAAAAGTGTCTCGTCCGTGGGGCTCCTTGGTGTTGTCCAGTAAGCCCACAGTACTCCCAGGAGTTCATCTACTCATCGTCCTTTTGCATTCTCCAATCTAATTTTTAAATTGTAGAGAATGGTCCTGACGGTGACCTCTACCTGCTCGTTTGCCTGTGGATGGGCGGGGCTAGAGTGGGGCTGCTTGATCTGTAGGTCGGCACAAAAGTTGTTAAAGAGTTTGTTGTCAAACTGTTTTGTATTTTTGCTCATAATGACGTGAGGTATTCTGAAGCGGTAGACTGTACTCCTCCATATGAAGTCTTTTACATTCATGTATGTTATCCTGACTAAGGCATCAGCTTCTACCCACTTAGTAAAGTAGTCAATGGCTATCACTACGAACTGTCCCAACTCACGGTTAGGAGACCTAGAATGTTGATCCCCCACATGGAAAAGGGTCATGGGCTCTAAATGGTGGTGAGTTCTTCAGGTGACTTTTTAGGTATAGTCATGAAGCGTTGGCAATTATCGCGCTTCTTAACGAACTCTCAGGCGTCTCTGATCATGGTAGGCCAGTAATAGCCTTGCCTAACTGTTTTGTGGGCCAGTGCACGCCCTCTTGAGTGATTTTCACATATCCACTCATAAATTTCTCTCATTTCATAATTAGTTTCCTCGGGGGTAAGACAGCGGAGTAGTGGTAGGGAATAACTTTTCTTGTAGAGGGCGTTCTACAAGATGACATATCTAAACGCTCTCATTCTCAAATTTTTGGCTTCCACTGGGTTGTCTGGGAGGGCACCCTCCTCTAGGTAGACTCGGATGGGAGTCATCCAATTGGCTTTCGAGGATACACAACTAACATCGTCCTCCTCTGTCTTGAAGGTGCTTGGTTCAAACTGGTGGCCTATCAGTGCTAGGCGCATGAGTTTGTTGGCAAATGCAAATTTGGAGAGGCACGGTGGATTTGGAAGCAGGTAAACTTTTTTAATAAGGCTTGGACCACTAAGAGGTATTCTTGCATTATTTCCTCCTTTGCTTCAAAGTCTCCCTTTACCTGGTTGACTATGAGCTGGGAGTCACTGTCAGACAGAAGGCCTCCATCTCTAACGCAAGCTTCAAGCTTGATAGAGAACCTCATATTCAGCTTAGTTGTTTAATGTTGCAAAGTGGAGGGAGACAGTGTACTTCAACAGAGTGCCATGGGGGCTAATCAACACTAGTCCCGCGCGGCCGCCCTCGCTGGTGGAGAACCCATCCACATAGAGTCTCCAACCTAGTACAATAAACTGTAGCAGGGACGCGTAGGGTTCAAGTGGAGTAGGCACAATGGAGTCAGGCACGTCCAATAGCAGAGTGTGATCTCTCGAGGCCTGTGGAGCTATTTTTGAGACATCGGGTCCTCTTGGGGTAGTGTTTGGGCTAGCCTCATGGTGGGTGGAGGTAGTATGCATTGAGTAGGCGGGCGCTTGATACTTTCTCCTGGGACTCCTATGGCTGTGTAAACTCGGCCACAAAGTCCACAAGTGCTTGTGCTTTAATGGTTGCCCTCGACTGGTACTACACATGGATTAGCACAAAAACATTGCATATTTCATGTGTTAATTATTCCATTTTCACTTGCTGGTGGGGATTAAATGATTGTAATTGCACTACTTGAGCTATTAATGAAGATATTTGGCGATTGCAGATAAAAGATGTCAAATGATGCTTCTTAAGGCTTTCTCAAATGAGTTGAGGTGATTGAGGATGAAAGAGTGGCTAGAGGAAAGTTATGGAGTTGGAGAAACCAAAAAACCAGTCAAAATGCAAAAATAGTACCGGTACGCAGTATCGATACGGTGTGGCCTCTGTAACAGACAGTACCGGTTTGTAGTACCAATATGGTTTTGCCTCTGGAGTTCGGGGTACCGGTACACAGTACCAGTACTGTCTGCTGAATCTCCCCCATTTCTGCAGCCATGCTCTGCTGCCTTGAGGGTCACACCAACAGGTCTTCCACACTCCTCTGACATGCCCACAACATTGTTCATCCCTTTCACACCTCTCTTTAGACTTTTGGAGCCATTGTGATCAATGAGGAGAGAGAAGAGAAGAGAAGTTGGGTGTACAGACAAGGTCTATACA